CGTTACAACTTTGCCTAATACACCATGTTTGAATATATCATTGAGGAGGTTATTTAACTTGAGTTTAAATACTCGAGTAACCAAATCAGGTCTCTTATTCGCATTCTGACCCGAATATAAATCTTCTGTTATTTCACGCCATTCTCGGTTGCAAGTAAAAGTTATAAAAAGATCTGGTTTACCATACTTTTTAATAATTGCCATAGCATCTTCAAAGTTTTCTTTTAAAGCTCTAGGACTTCCTACATAAGATGATGGCAAAACTACTACTCGTCCTGGTCTAATATTACGATCATTGGCAATGTTGTGAATATGTTCATGTAAGGCATCATACTGCTCGCTTCTCAGCTTATTTTGATTATTTCTGATAAAAGCAAGACGCTGGCCTTCAATTTTTACATATGCATCTACAGCATATTGCTGAAAGTTTCTTGCCATAAAATAATGAACAGAAAAATTGCCTAACAGAAAGTCTATAATTGTAGAACTGAGATAATGTAACATGATTTCTAACCAGTGTGGCACGCTCAGGGTTATGCACCAATTGATTATGCCAACCAGCATCACCTCTTGGAAAAAATAGCGGATAAACCATAGGATCCAAGTTGGCTGACATACTTGATACAATTTTTAAAGGATGACCTCTTGGGTAAATAACAACTTCCCTGGAAGTTGGGGGAGCACCATTTTCGCCAACAAATACAACTGCAACTTCATCATGTGAAGGTAGATTTTAACGACGTCTATCACCACCTTCAAGTAAAGACATTTTTACAACAGAAGCTGAGCGACCTTCTATAGCCGCCTTACGAATTTCTTCATCTTCTACTTCAGCCATGTTTTTACGAATTTCTTCATCTTCTACTTCAGCCATGTTTTTAAATGCAAAAGCAAATGGACTTTGTTCCATAATTATAGTTTGCAATTGAAACATTAAATCACGTAAACAAAGATCATTACCACAGTGTTGCATTCTAAAATTTAGTGCAGCAAGTGGATCATAAATATATAGTTGAGAATATATTGGTGGAATATCTTGATCTGGTCTAAGATTACCTACACGATGGAAAATCTGGCCACATATTTTAAAACATGGAAGCCCATGATTCATTGGTTGAACTACATTTGCTGTAAAAGAAGCAAAAGAAAGGCATGCATTATAATTTGGAATATGTTTTAAAAAATTAGCATTAGCATTACGATCTACATCACTCCCTGTAAACAAATCCTGTAAAGCTTGTGTAATTGGTGAGAGTGGATGCAAAGCTACCTTACCATTATGGCAACATAGAAAATGTGTTTCATCTGGAAATTTCTAAGCACCACAGTGCTGACAAATTTTCTCCACAGTGCTGATTCATTTCTCCTAAATAATTATAATCTGGAATAGCATTACTTCTCGCTATAGAATACATTCGCCCTTGTCCAACAGCTCTTCTTTCATTTTGGCGACGATTAACATTATCTCGATCGAGCCTATTTCTTTCATTTTGGCGACGATTAACATTATCTCGATCGAGCCTATTTCTTTCATTTTGGCGACGATTAACATTATCTCGATCGAGCCTATTTCTTTCATTTTGGCGACGATTAACATTATCTCGATCGAGCCTATTTCTTTCATTTTGGTGACAATTAACATTATCTTGATCGAGCCTATTTCTTTTGTTTTGGCGACGATTAACGTTTTCTTGATTAAGCCTATTTCTTTCATTTTGTAAATGATTAATTTCATCTCGACTAAGTCTCTTTTTTTCATTTCGTCTACGACTATTTTCAACACGCTTTATAGCACTTACATCATTTTGTAAATACATAACTTCATCTAGCCTATCATTCATTTCAATGTCATCATTTTGATTAAACACATTTATCAACGCAACACAAATTATTTTTTTTTTTTTTACAACTCTAAAATTAACAATAAAATAAAAAAACTAAATAAATAACTAAAAAAATCTTACTCAAAAAATAAAAAAAAAGTTCTCAAAACAAATATATAAAGAATCCAAACTAATGCAAAATAAAGTTAATTTGACATCATCAAAAGTAATACAGGTTTCTTAAGTTTATTTGATAAAAGTTAAGAAAAACCTGCAACCTTATTATCAAAAACTTAATACAAAAAGTTAAAATTTATTCTGTTTTTAATAAAGAAAAAAAATTTAGAAACAAACAACATATCTTCGCAGACAGCGTCATAAGGCATGCGTTGGGAGAAAACATTGAACAAAACGTGTAATAAAACCTATTAACGCGTTATGTACAATAGAAAACGGGTTATTAACGCAGGTTTATAAATTTTTTTCCCCCAACACACTATTACGCTGCGGCAATCTATCTATATTATCTTTAATATTGTTAATACTTTTGCTCTCTGAAAAAAAAAATGTTTCTGGCTCTTCAATAAATATAAAATATTTTGTCTTGCATAAATGAATTTTGGCTTAGGATTTAATTGTGCTGTTTATGTTTGTCTATCTGTAATTTATTTAGGTTATAAGAAAGTTCTAGTTTACAGAGTTGTTATTAATCATAATCGAGTTGTTAAACCAAGGAAATTGTGAAGGTTTATTTATCATATATACTATATATATTATATAATTATATTGGAGGGAGTAAATTTAAAAGCATTTTTAAATTTTTAAAAAGAAATAAAAACACTTTTCAATATATATCTGTTTTCTTTGAGGTAGAATTAAAGTTTCAGTTTTTTAAAATTTAAATTTAAAGTTTCAAGTTTTCAAAATCGTAATCTTTTCAAAATGTCTAAGTAGACATTGAGTATTTATAAAATCTTTTTAAAACTTTATAAGTAATTAGTTTATTGTAATCTTTTTTAAATTGTACTTTTAAATTTAAAGCTTCGTGTTATATATGTAAATTTTGAAAATATAGATTACTATAATTCTTAGATGGTGTCTACCATTAAAAGATATTTATGGGTAGTTTTATGCTTTCAAATGCTTTTAATAATTGGGATAAAAGCCATAACAACATTTTGTTATAAATAAAATTTATCTATAGTATTGTTAATACTTTAGCTCTTTGAAAAAAAAAATATTTTTTTTCTTTTCAATAAGTTTAATAATTTGCCTCGCATGATTGAATTTCGGTTTAGGATATAATTGTGTTATTATATGTTTGTTTTTCTATTTATATCTAATTTATAAAGATTTAAATTATAGTTAATATATAATTTATTTAATTTAAAATTAAGATATAAAATAAAAGATCTAATTTATAAAGAATTAGATCATTATAAAATTTATATTTACAGAGTTGTTATTAATCATAATCAAGTTGTTGAACCAAAAAAATTGTAGAGGCTTATTTATCAAATATACTATATATGTTATATAAAAAATTTTAGTTTTCAAATGTTTTCGCTAATAAACATTTATATATATATATATATATATATATATATATATATATATATATATATATATATATATATATATATATATATATATATATATATATATATATATATATATACATATATATATATATATATATATATATATATATATATATATATATATATATATATATATATATATATATATATATATATATATATATATATATATATATATATATATATATATATATATATATATATATATATATTCAGTTTTTGCTGATGTGGTTGCAGGTCTGAACGAAGAACAGAATTAACCTGATTAAAAACGACTCTTCCTTGCCATTCACCCTTGTCAATACATTGTTCACAGCCATGGTAAGCATTGTGTGGCTTTATACATTTAATAAAAGCACGTGCCGGAGCATTACATGTCCAAAACTTTAACTGACATTAAAAAAATTATCTTTGTAAACAAGACCATTTTCTGAAAGCATTTTGAATTCCTCCAAAAACTGCCTGAGAAACTCCATAGAAGAGTTAGGTTTTTGTTTGCCACAGAAAAAAGCAACAGGAAACGGAGGTTTAGAACCAAATTGACAAAGTAAAGGCCAAAGCTGAGTATTGCTAGATTTAAAAAGCGGCAGACCATCTAAATTTACTATTAAATTTATGTTGTTATTGATACTTGCTTCATATATAGATAGATAGATATAGTCACCAGAGCACATATTTTCAGTAAGCACACAATTAGGCGTTTTAAGTAAAGTTTTAATATTTTTTGGTAAGTCCTCGTGTCCGTGTTTTCGCAACAAAATAAGCAAATCATTTAATGAAAAATGTGTAACTGCATGCTTAACCGTCCACTGAGCAAGATCATATGCCAAATCAGGACAATGTTTAGAATGAAAAGACTCAAAAGAGTTTTTAAAATCATCACTTGTTGAAGAAAGTTCAGTTATTGGTAATGTAGAATCACTTTCAAAAGTATCAATACTATTATGAAGTAGACTAGAAAAAAACTCACCAGTTGATCTTTGATAATTATTATTTTCTAATATACTGGCAATCAAAGAATTAGTCTTTCTCCATATTGTAGACCTTGATACCATTGTATATCTTTGTATTTCTTATCTATAATACTTTAAAAAAAAAGAATATATATATATATAACAATTAATTTATATAAAAATTATATAACTTTGTTTAATTAACATTTTATCATTAAATGTTGCTATTTAGTATAAAAACACAAAATATTACACAAACTGTTAAAATTTAAATAAAGCTTTTGTAACTTTTTAGAAATAAACTTTCATCATAAGAATCTTAAAAAAATTTGTAAGTAAAAAATGATTTTGAAGCATTATTTAACCATTGATTTAATTTTTATATTGATTAATATTATTATTTATAATCCATCACAAATAATAAAACAAATAGTAAATCTTTTAAAAACAGAACTATATTTATGTTATTTAAAACAATGATCAAAAAATGACACATGATTTAATAATATATGGTAAACTAATTTAAAAGATCTTTAAAGTTTAACAACTTAAGTTTTAAAATTCACATAAACAAAAAAAGTTTTTTCTTCTTAATATTTATTTAATATTGTGTTTAAAAAATTCAAAAGAAATGTTGAAAAATAAAGAACAAAAATATTATATTGAAGTAAAAAAAAAAAACACTCAGTGAAAAAATTATATAAAAATTATGTTTTACTGGCTTCTTCTGCAAAATTCGAACTGATAGACATGATATCATTTCTGGCGCTTGTCCGAAGTGTTTTCCGGTTTTTACGATCTGCAGCATATTTTAAATGGTTCATCACTTCTATTCGTACTTCTGAGCTGGTAGCATCCGGAAAGACATTTAATACTGCATCTAAGATAAACAATTATACAAAAAAAGTATTAGGATGCACTATTAAGATAGATTAGTATAATATATTGGGCAGGCGTGTATTTCAGGCACCCTTCATTACTAAGTCTGTAAAAAAGTTTTATATGAAAAAACTATTGGTGAAAACCATACCCTAACCAAACCCTAGCCATGACTCTTAGGATTAGGCTCAGCGTTTGATTAGGGCATGGCTTTCAATAAAATAAACTTTATTGTTGGCTTCAGGGTAAAAGTATAATTTTCAATAAATGTTATATGTTAAACATGACTCGTTTTTTACGAACTTACTAAAGGGGGTGTCTAAAATACACCTCTGCCAGATATTGTAACAGCAATAATGCTATTTAGGAAAATGTTATTAAAAAAAATAAAACAACCTATAAACAAACTCATTATTTACTACATTATACAACAAAGTTTTTTCAAACTTAAGCTTTCCTTTTAAACCAATCATGCTGAATTTTTTCTGAAGATCATTTGACATCAATCTTAGATGAAAATAAATAAAACAACTAAAAGATATCATTTAGTAATTTATGCAGTTTCTAACTTAGTAGTAATATGAAGTAAATGTAACATATAAAAATCAAATTTTGAAAATACAAAAATTACCTTTGAATTAGGTCCTTAACCATATATTTAGATGATTTTCCACCAACACGTGAGAGTTGTTTAACCTTAAATAGAAAAAAAATACCAGCCAAATTGAAATATTTCACATAAAATTTTTTATATAAGTGTAATAAATTTTTAAACAATTTAATTATTTAATAATACTTAAGTTATAGTAATGCTACAACCTAAATAGTTTAAAAATAAATAGGTTATAAATAAGGTGACATTAGTTGCAAAAGCAATTGATTAATAATCATTTTATCGTCCATCTTTTTTTCTCTAAATTGCTTTTAAAAATATTAAAATATAACTCACAAATTTTTGTGCAAAACTATTATCATGCATTTTAAGTTCAAATTCATTCAAATCTTCTACTGTCAAGAATTGAGTCGGAATTTCCGCACTCAAATTATGTGACAATGTACGTTTGGGTTGACATTGTAAACATGACTTCATACTGGAATTCTACACACAAAAATAAAAGAAAAAAAAACAAAAGTATAATTTATTAAACTACAGGGTAAATTTTTATAAAAATTTATCTTTAATTGTAATACTTTTTAAACATAATATGCCTCCATAAAATAATTATAATAACTGACTTATATAAAAAATAAAATAAAAATATATTATGAATAATATTTTTTCAGTATGTATAAATACTGAAAAAAAAATCTACACACTTTGATCACTCATTGGAAAGTTATTTCTGTTAATAGCCAGAGTAGAATGTTCTTTACTTTTTGGTAATCCACAAGAGAGTTGACTCTGTGTTTCAATTTTCTCTGATTGTAAAAGAGAACAATAATCTGGCCTTCTTTTACTTTTACTCTGAGGAGATAGTGAACAAGAACTACTGGAAGATCGAAAGCACGATTTCTTTGAATTATGGGATTTTGATGAACTTCGAAAACTAAATACTGACTGAGTAGGTTGATTCAAATCAATATTTACTTTATTCTGAATAGCTTTATGTGAAAGATTTAGGTTCTTTTTCTAATTCTGGGGTAAATGCTTTTTATTTCTAAAACCTAATTTGATTTCAGGCTTTGGAGGAAGTGTACTGCAAACTGTTAAAAAAAAATTAAAAAATGAATGATTCAATAAAAAAAATATTTGATTTAAAAAAATTAACTCAAAAAAATTAATTCCAAAAAATAATTAAATAAACAAAAAAATTTAAAAAATAAATATCAGAATACTATATAACTTAATATGCAAACACAAAAAATTACTTTTTACTTTTTTTTGCAACTTGAGACATCTTTTTAAAAATCAAAATCACAAGAGTCAGTATCAGTTGTAATATTATATGAATGGCAAGTCATAAAATCTTTATCAGTTAATTTAATTTTGAGAACTTGAAATTTAAACCAATCATTATGAGGTTCAACCTGGTCCCTTAACTTAACTCAGCTCCTTTTTTTGGCCATCTCAAAACTTAAGCATTAATCCAACTTAAAGGAACAGTGTCAGAGTAAACTAATTCTTCTTCAAGCCACTTTACACGACACCATTCAGACATAATAGCACACTACATAATGGTAAAACAGAAAAAATAAATAAATTTTTTCAGAATAATATCAATAAAAAAACAATTTTAAACAACT